CCTTAAGCTATCCTCCAACTACAGCCTCCCGAAGTGCTAGGATTAGAGGCATAAACTGCTGCATCTGGCCTAAAGCTCACTTTTAAAATGTGCTTGCTTCCCTACTAACAATGCTATCACAACCACGGTAACATTTTACCAAGATACATCTACCTGAACAATTTACTACCTTGTACATATACACACATCTGTAAGCCATTTAAGGTGTTGGGAATTCAAGGGCAAAAATACAAACATATTTAATTTTAAAATTTTTAAAATAAAAGTGCAAGGTTATTCTTTGAAACTTTAACCAAACTAAAATTTGTTTTTCTAGAATGCTCAGTTGGACACAGTGGCTCACGCCTGTAATCCCAGCACTTTAGGAGACCGAGGTGGGCGGATCACGAGGTCATGAGTTCTAGACCAGCCTGGCCAACATGGTGAAAGCCCATCTCTACTAAAAATACAAAAATTAGCTGGGTTTGGTGGTGCATGCCTGTAATCCCAGCTACTCAGAAGGCTGAGGCACAATAATCGCTTGAACCCAGGAGGCGAGGTTGCAGTGAGTCAAAGATCACGCCACTGCACTCCAGCCTGGCGAAAGAGCGAGATTCTGTCTAGAAAAAAAAAAAAGCTCAACATATCAAAGTGAAGGAAAGAGTCTACTATCATTAAGTGTTGAAATCTGCAGCCTTAATCCCTGGGTTGAATCCATGCTAAACCACTAAAGCAGTTTAACTTTAGGCAAGTTATTTACACTCTGTAGACCAATATTCCCACCTCTAAAACATGAATGATTAACAGTATCTACTCCTACTCAAGGTTTTGATGATAATTAAGTCAGTCAACACAAACTCAGAACTTTAACAGTGGTGGACATAGTCAACAGTTTAGAATACTTCCGTAAGAGAGAAATCAACGTCCTGCTACTTTTCCCTGCCAAATTAAAAAGCCATTATATGACCCAACAAGGTACCACAGAACTAATTAGTAATTTCCGGGAGCCTGATCAGTTCTCTTATCCCGACTGATTTTGCACATTAATACACCCAATAAAAACTCATTTGAAAAACCAGGTCAAGTTATTGTTAGGCCTGGGATGATTATTTTCTCCAAGAGATTGAGACAGTAGCCTACTCTAACATATTGGTCTCCTAACTTACTACCCTACTTGCCCTGTTAGTCCTCATCACTAACATTCCCTACACAACAGCCAGAAAATAAATCAGACCTCTTTTTCAAAATCCTTTAATAGATTCTACCTGTGACCAAGATAGGATCTTAAACAAGATCCTCTAAGGTTGTGCTATGAATGTTTGATCCTTGCCTACCTCTCCAACTCCATCCCTCATCTATGTATACTTGGTAATTATTTTCCAGTATTATTTCTTACTTGGAGGCCAAGTCTTGTTCCCCCTCATTACCTGTGCTTTCACATATGGTTTTCTTACAGAATGAGCTTCACCATTAGCTACTTCCATATAGCCAAGCTTCCCTGTAGGGAAGGTTCCTTCCCTGGCAGCATCCCCCAAATTCCATGTTCCCTTGCTATCTTCTCATCCACCTTGTTCTTTTCCTTCATCGATCCTGACTATGAAAAGTGCCGTTTACTTTGTTTCTTCCCTCAATGATCTGTAATATCCATGACGGCAGGGGACATGTTTCGTTCTTCCCTATATGCCCAAACCTAATAATGATTTTCAAAATAAGTACTCAAATATTTAATAAACATCTTATACGTGAATGTTCCTTGAACACCTCCAAGACGTTTAAAACATTCTTTTTCCCACCCTCAAACTATAATCTGCTCCCTTCGTTTACCTTCTCCAGTTATCTATCCCTATCCCAGAAGCTAGAAACCAGCAATCATGCCAAATCTATGTCCTTGTCCACCCTCTATCATATCTGTCCTGAGATGCTCCTAATTTTACCTACTAATCTCTAATCTCATTAGCATTACCTTTGTCCAAACCAGGTCGTTATTCTTCCTTGGATTTTAGTATCTTCCTTATTAATCTCTTACTTCCAATCTCATTTCCTCTACACTATTTCCATACTGTTATTACAAAGACAGTCCTAAAAATTAAAATCTTCCAGTAGTTTTTGAGACCAGCCTGGGAAACAAAATGAGACTGTCTCCACTAAAAAAATAACAATAAAAAATAGTCAGGTGCTATGGTGCAGGTCTGTAGTCCCAGCTACACAAGACGCTGAAGTCAGAGGATGGCTTGAACCCAGGAGGTCAAGGCTGCAGTGAGCCTTGTTAATGTTTAATGTCGCTGCAATCCAGCCTGGGTGACAGAGCAAGACCCTGTCTCAAAAAATAAAAATAAAAGGAAAATCTGATGTCACTTTCCAGTTTAGAATCTTTCTAAAATGGCTCACCATTAGTTTCTGGTTAAGATATAAACTCCTTGGCATGTATGTCATTGAAACTTTTATTCTCTGGCCTTAAGATTCTTTTCAGTACACTACCTCTCTTAAAAGGATCCCGTTGACCAGGCATGGTGGCTCACGCCTAATTCCAACACTTTGGGAGGCCAAGGTGAGTGGATCACGAGGTCAGGAGTTCAAGACCAGCCTAGCCAAGATGATGAAAGCCCGTCTCTACTAAAAATACAAAAATTAGCTGGGCATGGTGACAGGTGCCTGTAGTGGTGTGAGATCACACCACCGCACTCCAGCCTGGGTGACAGGGTGAGACTCTGTCTTATTAAAAAAAAAAAAAAATCCCTTTATGTGATTAAGGTAGAAGAAATAAAAATAATGAAATAAAAAAAAGATCCCCTTACCTCTTAGGGTTAGTTAGGTAACCATTTCTGCATGCCTTTTTTTTTTTTTTGGAGACGGAGTTTCACTCTGTCGCCCAAACTGGAGTGCAGTGGCCGGATCTCAGCTCACTGCAAGCTCCGCCTCCCAGGTTCACGCCATTCTCCTGCCTCAGCCTCCTGAGTAGCTGGGACTACAGGCGCCCGCCACCTCGCCTGGCTAGTTTTTTGTATTTAGTAGAGACGGGGTTTCACCGGGTTAGCCAGGATGGTCTCGATCTCCTGACCCTGTGATCCGCTCGTCTCGGCTTCCCAAAGTGCTGGGATTACAGGCTTGACCCACCGCGCCCGGCCTCATGCTTTCTTTTTTTAAAAAGAGATGGGGTCTCACCGGGTCTCTACAAAAAACCCAAAAATTTAAGGCTCGGCGCAGTGGCTCACGCCTGTAATATCAGCACTTTGGGGGGCCGAGGCAGGCAGATCAAGAGGTCAGGAGTTTGAGACCAGCCTGGCCAACATAGTGAAACCTCGTCTCTACCAAAAATGCACAAATTAGCCAGGCATGGTGGTCTGTGCCTGTAGTCCCAGCTACTCGGGAGTATCGCTTGAACCTGGGAGGCGGAGGTTGCAGTGAGCCAAGACTGCACCACTGCACTCCAGCCTGGGCAATAGAGCGAGACTCTATCTCAAAAAAAAAAAAGAGAGAGATGGGGTCTCATTATGTTGCCCAGCCTGGAGTGCAGTGGATAATCATATCACACACTAAAGCCTCTCAACTCCTGGGCCAAAGGACCCTCCTGCCTCAGCCTTCCAATTAGTTTTGACTGCAGGCTTACCAATGCCCCTAGCTTATTTCGGCATGCTTCTACAGGATCGGTATTTACCTCTCATCATATATGGACATTATTTCATTCATGAGTCTCCCTAAGCTGCAAAGCCCGTAAACATAATAAACTATATTTTATATCCCGAAACAGAACATGTCCCATAAAAACAATAAATTTGTAGAATTAACAAGGAGTAAATCTAACTAAACCTATAGTGAACAGCTTCCATATACTGACAGCAGCAAAGAAGTAGAAAAAATAGCTCTCATACAATAGAGGGCATCAATAAAACTTGCACCTATTAAAAAATAAAAAGATTCCCATTATTTTTCTAGATAACCTCCAGGAATCTTTTCCTTAACTTTCTCCCATTCTGTTTTGAGTGTACCTTTGGTTTTCACTTAAACTAGATTTTCCTTTTCATCCAAGTATGATATAAGGGGGCAAGTTTGTGATTTACCCTAATACAACAGTACCAAATATGCCTTCAAAAAATTATTCCAGGTTAGGTGCAGTGGCTCACGCCTGTAACGTCAACACTTTGGGGTGTCAAGGCAGGAGGATTGCTTGAGCCCAGGAGTTCAAGACCAGCCTAGACAACATAGTGAGACTGTCTCCATAAAAAATAGAAATATTTTAAAATAAAATCTAATTATCCCCCAGCTTGAAATCTATCAGAGCAACTCTAAAATGGTTATCTTACTCTTTGGCTATCCACATCTTTATTAATCTCTACACGATTCCTGTGAATAACACAGAATTCATTCCTTCTTACCATTAGGAATTCTATGAATTCACATTAGAATTCCCAAAATCTAGCTGGGCCTTGAGTCACCATTGTAAAAGGGGTCAGCCTGAGATGGTTCCTGATTTGGACGTATAGGTTAAACAGAGTTCCCTGCTTTGTGAGGTCAAAAAGCCTACCTTTTTCCAAATTTTTAAAAACCTTCCAGTGAGACAGCATTTTAATATTATGTTGTATCTCTTGTGGTTTGACTCTTGTGAAATTTTAATGTGATAAAAAGTCTAAATAGAATACAATCCAAAAATGTCATGAACCCAAGAAATACGTTAAATGACAGAAAATGTTTACTAATTTGTAATAATCTAAAAAAAAAAGGATTCCCCAATACGTTGCCTTGTTACTAATCATTAACGCAAGCCACTTTCATTTTAAACTTCAGCTGCTCTTTCCAAGTACCCAAAATGTTCTAATCAGCCCAAGTTAATTAGAAACTCCTATTATTCCATTAGTTTACAAATAACTGAGGTGGTCCCCCTTGAGAAACACTTCAAGATGCACATACAAAACGCTTAATCCAAACACTTCCAGAGGCTATGACCTATACACATCAGCTACACTGTTAAACGGGTTTATTTCCTAGTCTTTGTAATGAATCCAAGTGGACCTCACACCTCTTACCATCACCCAGGAAGGGTGTGCATCTGTTCCGAAGGCCCCCCTGGCTCCAGGTCATCCTGGCTGCTGCTGCTCCAGGCTGGGCATCCATGTTGCTGCAGCTTGTGGTTTGTGAGGGGTAGTGTACAGGAAAAGCAGGATGGGATTTCAAGGGAAACAGGAGGAAGATGGCTTTCAGGGAAAATGCCATCACGATCATAAGTGTTAAGTAGTACCACACACATTTTATTGCAGCACAGTTTAAAAATTTAACAAATGAAAGATTAAAAATAAAAAAACAAAAATAAAAAAAATTAAAAATACAGACGTCCAGAGATGCTCTAAAACAGTTAAGTTAAAGATCAGGAAAAATAAGGTCATAGACTTAACAGCCAGTAAAATTCTGTTCAGTGTGGGGAAGGGGATAAGGGCAAGGGTGGGGTTGGGAGAGAAAAGGTTTATGTGATCAATCCACTTAAAAATACTAATGCCTTCGCTTTCTCTCCCAAGATGCAAAACTCCAAAGTCAATCAGGAGGCCGGAGAAATTCTTAGAAACATTCAGAAAAACTCGATTTTAATCCGGTTAAAAATCATCAGTGTCATTATCATCATCATCATCACCATCATAAGTATTAATATAATAATAATAATAATAAGTAATAGTAACTAGTAACAACAATAAAAAGGAAATCAGCGGAAAGTCAGGAAAAATGTTAAAAAAAAATTGGAATAACTTACTGTAGCTGAAGATCAAAAAAATCTCACTGTAAAAAAACAAAAATAAAAATAGCCCAGATTAGAAAAACGGGAGGTGCAAAAATGTCAAGTCAGTAAAGTTCATTTCTTTTCTCTTTCCAAAAGCAGTTTCCACAAAAACCGCAAGGATAAAGTTTTCAGTAGCAGACAAGCAAAGCCCTTTCGACATCATCAATCAATCTTAAAAATACACGAGGAAGTAGAGAGGTCAGTTTATGAGAGGCTAAAAGGCTCCTCCTCCTCTAACCCAACTGCTGCAGAAAAAATAGAAATAGAAATTTTAAAAATTACATCTTAAATCCAGGTCCCGGTTTTGGAAACAATTAAAAAAAAAACACCTGTACATTTGCCGTAGTGCACACCAAGTTGCATCATTATGTTTAAAATGTCTTTATAAAATCAGTTTTGGAATGGAATGTGTGTGTTCTGGAAGGGTGGGGAAGGGAGGTTAAAAATCAAAGCTGAGCTCCAGTGAGTAGGGATGGGGTTCGCCTTGCTGCCCTGTGAAAGGAGAAGGGACAGATTGAGTCAGAGTTCCTCAGAAATGTTGTGCCCTAAACCCCCAAGACAGAAACATCTGTCTATTGCAGCTAACACATTTTGGTAAAGCATTAACATTCCACTGGGATGGGACAGCCTCCATAGAATCACCTCTACCAGTGACTGTCTTCACAATTCTTCAACATCAATAGGTGACTAAAATTAACTAAATCCATGTCAATATGCCCTTGAGGGTCTCAAAAAGAGTATATCCAAATATTCATCTTGATAATGAGCAGTTTGGGCAAAGAAAATACAGAAAAACCGGGCCAACAAATAGAGGTGAAATAGTGAGCAAATGTCAAATATTGAGACTGTAAAAATTAAGCAGATTCATGGGTTTTAAACTTAAAGCCCATGGAGTTTCCACTATGAGTAACAGACTGAAGGTGAATGGCCTACCATGAAGATCTATACTAGTGATGACTCTAGATCTATTTTCAAAACCAGTGAGTGATCAAACCACAAGACCTAATAGGTTCTACTGTTAGGGGGAAAGATGTTTTAAATAAGGAGCACATTATTTCACTCACTGACAAAACGAAAATACAAATGGAATAAAAAAAGACTACTATGGCTACTGAATATTTAAGGTCATAAAATAGGTGAAAAAATTAAGGTCCTTATGTTAATACCTCTTTTGTTTCTGTAGTCCACTGTTTACTATGTAGCATGTATAGCTAATTTCAAGTTATGGATTCTAAAAATCTGGTACACAGTACCACACTAAAATAATTTCCATGACAAACTGGTTGTTTCATCAGCTAAAATAAGAACTACAATTGGACTGTAGCTCCTTGTGCAAACAATGAACTAGCTGCACTCACTTTTCAATTTAGCCATAAAGTCTTATTCTCCTTTGTAAATTTCAGGAAATTAAAATATTTTAAGGCCAGGTGTGGTGGCTCACACCTGTAACCCCAACACTTTGGGAGACTGGGGTAGAGCATGGCTTGAGACCAGCCTAGGAAACATGGCAAGACTTTTATTAAAAACAAAAAACATTAACAGGGTGTGGTAGCCTGTAATCCCAGCTACTTAGGTGTCTGAGGAGCGAGGATCAATTGAGCCCAGGAGTTTGAGGCTGCAGTGAGCTCTGATGACGCTACTGCATTTCAGCCAGGCCAACAGAGAGAGACCCTGTCTCAAAAATTTTTTTTAATTGAGCATTTACAAGTGTTCTTTGAGCCGGCCAGGCGCAGTGGCTCAAGCCTGTAATCCCAGCACTTTGGGAGGCCGAGATGGGCAGATCATGAGGTCAGGAGATCAAGACCATCCTGGCTAACACGGTGAAACCCCATCTCTACTAAAAAATACAAAAAACTAGCCGGGCGAGGTGGCGGGC